CATCTCTTTACAATACAGTCCTACAGGATATATGTGTATATACATGATTTTAGTTAATCATTATTGTGAATGAAGATTTTTCTAATAATGAACACTCCGCTTTATATCCAAATCCTACGTTGCATCAGTTTTGAACTATCCTTGGTAGTCCATCTTCTTGCATCTCTATTGAATGTGAAATACTTGAAATACTTGATTCTTTTATATACTCTACACACTATTTTCTTCTTCTTCTTCAATAATTCGTAAACTATTTCCAGTTATTTTGAATGTCAATGTCTTCGTTTATGTGTTCTGTGAATGATGCCGTGTATGGTCAGTTTTTATACATCTGTCATGTGTATCTGTAGAGATTTACCGATGAGTTATGCATCCAATCTATCTTGTTATTGTCAAGTACATATTTTTGTACTTCACTTCAAGACTTACTCCAAAATGTATCACAACTAGTTGATAATACAATCCGAATTTGTTTGATCAATAAAGAGAGCGTATTCCACACTTGCGGTTTACAGTCTGATAGTTCATAGTGCATGTTTGTTTGTTATTTGTCCACTGAATATTTGAAAAGGAACTATTTCTATTTCTTTGAAATGTATATTTATGAAAGCTCTTTTTCTCTTTATTTTTAGTTGCCTTAGGCTCTATACTTGGAATATGAATATTCCTTTTGGCCACTCTTCTTGTTGTCTATCGTCTAAGGCATAAGTTGTAGTTTTTTATTATATATGTATATATTTGTGTATTGATGTGGGATGTAACGCTGTATGATGGTTGATTTGTCAGTGTATTTATACACATCAGTGGATGTCTAGTATACTTCTTTAACGTGAATTATTTACCGACTCCATTTATTCTTGATATATTTAATACTTGAATAATGTATACTGATTCTCTAACCTCATTCTAGTCCTTCTACATCGAAATGTCATACACTTATCACTTAAACAGAATGGAAAAAGTGAGAGGTGTCGAATGAACAGTTGGATTCTGTGGTTTATGTATGACGATAATATGTTCGGAGCTTCGAGGTCGGTAATCATCCAATCAAGATATGATGCATAATGCATTGCTTTTGCTGAACTTCCTGAGAAGATCGCATTAAAGACCGACTGCAAGAAATATACTTTTTAGACATTTCCTAGGTAGTGATGAATTTCCACCGACAATTTCTGTTTCATGGATCAATGTGAATGATAATGACTTACCATGGAAATATACACCACCAAGTAGAAATAGTTTTAGTAATGGTATTCGACGATCATCATCATTTTTCCGTAGTTTTAATCAAAGTAACTGATCGTTCACACCATCAAGATAACATAATAACAACAATAGTAATAGTTATGGATTACCTTATGAAAAATCATCTTTAGGGTCTTCATCATTCAATACATCACGTACAGAGATGATGCCATCAATGCCAGTATTACCTACATTGAATTATTTGATTTTTACCATTGACCGGTCATTATCCGGTTAATAAACAACATTTTGATTCGATTCGATTAAATGGTATTCATGTTACTCATCCGTTGATGCAACCACCTTCGCAATCAATGTCAGGTAGGTAACATAGTTTTCCCTAACATTTTCGGTTAAAGGTTTACACTACTTGCAAATAGTCATTCAATAACTATTGTAACTATCCCCTTTGAGTTCAATGTTGATTGATCTACATTTTCAATTCATGTTTGATTAATGCTGTAGAAGGATTGGACAGATTATTGAATGTCATGGATTATATCATGGACTACTACTAATAATAATTATAGGGTCACTTAGGAGTCGTTAGGTGAGGTAACTCTTGGGATGTCCAGTGAGAATCTGTGACAAGTGGCAATAAACTATGTCGGTGGTAAGACCCTGACCAATAAATGCGTAGTGTCTCGATATAGTGTGAAGTTAAGCGTGTAAATAACTAGATTCCGACGCGGTTGTATGGAGGTTAGCCGCCTTCTGAGAGATCTGAATGTCTTGGCTTTACTTTGCGATTGGATCATGGACGCACACCACTGAGGAGTTACATATTAGGATGAAATTATTGTTCCATACCCTCTACTTTCTAAAGATTATCTCTTTGAAATGGCGTTGAATTGTTTGCTTTCTTAAAAAGAGCTATTGGAGTGCAATGAGGTGAAATAACCCAGGAAGTGTTAATGATATGCATTCAACTTCCTTGACTGGTAAATCACATGTTAATGGTCGCATAAAACTTGTCAAAATTGAATACTTAGATTTTATGAGGCCGAAGATGTGGTGCATATTCTTAGCCAACAGTATTTTTAAAACAGGTTAAAAACAACTTGTGGTTATTATCATAACATAAACAATCATTGGAACTGATTAATTAGATTAGGAAAAACTAATGGCAGCGGGTCAATAAGGAAATAAACAATCAGTCAGTGTGTTTGTTTAGGAGCCATATTGTATAGTTTATCTCAAATCAAAAGGATTTAACTGAAGCCTTATAGTAAGTTTTAAGTAGTTCACATTATCCTGTCAATGATATGTGCATTGTAGAGACTCCCTGGGACTCGTTATGATAACCAACATCAATTTATATCGTTTATAAATTGAAGTTGATTAGGTGCTCAATGCAAGACCTCAGGCTCCTGGGATCCTATAGCCTCACTGTTTAGTTGTCACATACAAAAAATAAACATCTGTCTCTCCAGTGTTTCCTTGTTTTCATTGGAAGTTTTACTCAGGTCAGTACTTGTCTTAAACTACAAAATTCGGTCATTTCTTTATTTTCAGAACAAGTTATATCTTTTCATTTTATGTTTCGTCCCTTTTCTCTCTTCATCTCACTAACAGAATCGAGTGATTGACACAGAAATATTAATTCTATCGCGAATATGTGGAGTACTCAAACAGTAAAACCATCATTAACTTCCACTTCAGTGACAGTAAAACAAGCGGCACCGAATTCAATGTACAATAGTTCATTTAATTATAATTAATTTGATTATATTGAAAAAGATGAATTAAATCATTTACCATATCTAACAACTGATCCCTATTTGGAACCTGTTTCGTTGAAACGAAGACAACAACAAGAAAAACAACCGGGAAATTTGATCAATACAATGAAAATCAATCTCATTGATCATTATGATGATATGGATCTGGATACAGCAGTGAATGAAAATGGTGATTAAATCAAATTAAATAGTAAGTTGCATAAGATGATGTTCGAAATAGAAATGACAGTATACTATAAACGTATATGATTAATACATAGAAGAACTTGTTGAGATTGTACAATTTTTGTGGCTTACATGATGGAATAGACGATCACTGCAAAGTACAAAGAATACTGGCATAACTGTTTCATCCTGGATTTTGACTACTAAATAATTGGGAAACAGCATGACACGACGATATTCAGTTTAATCTCCAGAATACTCGTGATCGGGCGATTTTTTAGCGCGTTAGTTTTCTACTGGATAAGGTCGTTAACCTCATGCCCAACCATCCTTCTTTATGAAAGTTTGGGACTGGAAGGATTCCAGGCGTATTCAGTTATGGATATTAGGTAGATAAAACAATTTACTACTCAAAAAATTAGAAAAAACGTCGAGTTATTTAATTCCAAGTTGGCAAAGTGTATGTAATCATAATCCTTAGTCGAATTAAAATTCATTCGCCCAAAACTGAATCAACCATGACAGCCTTTAGAGTACTGAACTTATGTTATTTGATTTTTGTTGTATACAGTTCGCAACGTGAAGTGTTGTTTCAGGTTAATGTCTTGAAAAACTGACTCTTTAGTAGTTACCGCAGTTATAAACCTATGGAATTCAGTCGACAGTTTCTAAACCTCAAGATTAATTGGTGAATTTGCAAGCTGAAATACATGTTTTATTATTGCTGTAGAAGTGAAATACGGTTGGGCTCAGTATCTGTGGTCTAGAGGTCAGGCGTTCGCGCGCGAGACCGAAGGTCCTGGATCGCAGTTCTGAGTGTAGGATTGTGAAAATTCTTTATTGAATAGTTTCATAATAGGACGAAATGGTCATCCAATGCTTTTAGGTTTTCAATGGCCGTTCAATATTGATCGTCGATTCATGATTTCACTGAGAATTTGTTTCAGTGAATTTTTATGAATTTGACTCAGTTGAAAATGTAGTACACAAGTTAATGCTTCTTACTTTTCATTCACTTATCATCAATACTAAATCTCAACAGCGTATGGTTTTACACAATATATAAATTATTTTTCTTTCAATTCATTGAATGACAACTGTTAGTCAGATTATAAAATTATAATGAATTACCTAATTTTGACAAAATCTAAATCATTTGGTTGATCACTGGGTAGTGATCAATGTCTGAGATGGAATTGGATCTGCACTAAGGAGGACCTGATCCACTTCACCTTGATAATTTACCAACCAGCAATCAATTATTTGTAAAAGAGGGAGGTTAGTCACGACCTGGATAGCTCAGTGACTATGAAGTTGGGTGACACGGGATCAGGTCGGTCAGGGAGCATCAGATTGTGGGTACACCTTGTTGATGAGCGCCCAGATAGCACGAAACCTAGGTCCAGGGTTCACTGTTGACCTTTTAACTGTAACCACCACCGCATATACATAGTTTATTTTTCAAGTGTATAAGCACATCTGCGGTAGCTGTTAAATGTTAAGATTTTTGACTATTTCGTCGTTTCACATGTTATCGAATGTCTCAATATACAATCGTGTTTTATTTAAATAGATTATAGAATTAGAATGAAATTACAGAATTTGATGATTAGTAAGTTGTTCAGTAAAGACAAACTGTATAAAGCTTAGACTAATTCAAGTTAATAGAAAGATGCAGCTTGGTACAGTGTAATTAGTACATTCAGCTGACGAGTTCCATGATTCGACGGAACGTGTGTCATGGATTGCACTACTAGACACCATCCATCTCTACTTATTATGCTTGTGACTTACTGTCAATATTGAGCCTATCCTCACAGACAGGATGAACATATGCCAATAAGACAGATAGATCAATCACGGTCCTCAACATCAATGGGAAGGTTCAATCAACCTGAAGAACGACCTATACAAAAACGGAATTAATGCAACTGTAGTTATCTATTTAGTTTAATCCATAACTTATCAATTTATGCACTTAATTAGAAAAAAAAAACATTAAATTGATCGACTTTCATGTGGCAGTATGTAACACCAATCGGAAGTGTAACGCCTAGCAGCAGAAGACTGAGAAGATCGAATTGAAGAGAACAGGAATGTAAACAGAGAGTAATCGTAATAGCAATAGAATTGAAAGAATCATGAATCATGAGGAAGACAACTAAAGGATGATGTGCAAGTACTTTATTTTATGTATGGTTTTCACATCATAAAATGGCAATCCTCGATTCCGCATTAAACAATAAATTGGTCTGCTCCACCTGAATTCTTCGTTCACTACATATAGTCTAATATTGTGTCAACTTTCATCATTATCATTTGTCATTGATTTCTGTTTATAATTGTATTTTCTTCTTAGAATGTGATCAACATCTTGCATTCCACAGTGGAACAAGTTCAGCGATTAGTTCATTAGTATTCGCTGATGATGATGGTATTTCTAAAGTGTCAGAACATTCAATAAATAATCGAAAATCGGATCAACATAGTTCATTACACTGGATCACATCGCAAACTGTATTATCAAATGAAACTAATCCAATGAATAATAATAATAATTCTATAATAGATGTTACGACGGTTATTACCAATATTTACACCACTACTACTACTAATAATAATCATAATATTAATAATAATAATAAGAGAAATTTTAGTTCAATCGATTCATTATATGAAACAGTGGATTTGCCTAGAACTAATTTACCGACCCCAATGTTAACAACGACAACAATGGTAAGTCAACAATTCATTGATTTCGTTTGCACATTCACCAATTAGTTTTAAGCTTTGGAAACTGTCGACTGAATTCTGTAGGTTAATAACTGTGGTAACTACTTAGGAGTCAAGGGAATATATTATATGGAAAAACCTGCCTGTGTGGTGTAACAATCAGCATGAAAGGCGAGATAAGCATGAGATAAATTTTGGTGGACCTAATTAGGCTTAGTGAGTGATCTTGAAATATTGTCTGTGACCTGATGAAAATAAAACTATCGTCAGTGTTTCCAATGCCTCAGAATGTAACACTTAATTCTCATATTGCAAATTTGAAAAATATTATGGTGTGTGCTACTGATATCCATAGATAAATGTAGTTGGTGTCATCAGTCGAAGGTGAAGTACTTGTCAGCAGGTGGTCAAAAAGAAAGAAGGAAGGAACAGTGATTCATTGTTGCGGAATTAAAGGGACTGTGAAATGTGAGATGATTGATTGATATGTAACAAATTACGTATTTACAGTATGGTTTTGAAATATTAATGAGATGTGTAATTTTGTGTTCAAATAAATTCGACAGTGCAAATTTGTGTCTTTGTTCATAAAAACATTAATTCTGATCACACGAGGAGTATTAGTTACGTCAAGATTGAGGGTACACTTTAATAACTTTTACCAATCACCATAAAACCTGAATTTAAGGTTCCTTCAAACACTGAAAATTGTCTAATATATCTGTCTTATGAAATTATCTGAAAATGTGAATTTGAAATTTTCGAGACATGGCATACTTGGAATGCTTTATAAATATTCAACTACGATTGCATCCACTCAACGATGATCACCTGCATACTTACGCCTGTTGCCCTCAATCGAGTAATGCCCACCGACCAGCATTCTGCAACCCAATCTGACCTTGGCTTTTCTTTATATTTCGGTCATGTCTATCTTCGTTGCTTGTCTTATTGTGTCGTTTGGTCTTCCTCTTCTCCTTTGGCCTTGAAGAGTTCAGGTGAAGGTTTGCATTGTCATGAAATTGTATGCTTTCCTCAATGTGTGTCCTATCAACTTCCAGCGCTTCTTTCTCCGTTGGAATCTCGTTTGTTTTCTCCCATAGTAGGTTGTTGCTGATAAATGGATTCGAAGTATTGCGCGTGGACAACTGTTAATAAATATTTGTATCTTCTGTCTGGTAGCTTTCGTAGTTCTGCAGGTTTTCGCCCCATACAGTAGATTCGTTTTGACATTTGTATTGAAATTTCTGACTTTGGTGTTGGTTGACAATAGTTTTGAGTTCCAGATGCTCATGGGTTGTAAATATGCTGCCCTTCAATTGTTGGTTGACTAAAATTGATCGTGAGGTTTGTATGAGCTGCTCGATATTAGTTGAGTTAAGTGAGGCTGGTTTTAACATCCTCTATCGTCCTCCTGAACATCTTAATTAGTGCAGAAATGGTCAACTGGGTTCTGTGTATTGTGGTCCGGTGAATTCCATATGATTTTGTATTTGTGCTTATTTAGGAATATGGTGCTGCCTTTGACCAGTTTATTGAAGGCACAAAAGTTTGCAAATCTCTAGCCATCTTCGTTCATTTTCCCCCTAGTCCATGTCGCCGGATGATGTAGTCATACCCGGTGTTGTTCAATTTAAACTAGGCATTTGAGATACTCTTCAGAATGGTCAGGTCATTCGTACGCATTTCTCAACGATTGACTGTAACCTGTCGTATAATTAGTCTATAAATTCTTCATTGTAATCGTTGGTAGCCTCATAGCGTTCGTCATCCAATGCTATGTCCATCAATGAGTTACATTCGAAGATTCATTAGTAGAATCATTGAACAGATTATCTTCAGATGATAGACGATTTCATTTAATCATTTAGTACACCACAAAACGTTGGCTTCTTTCTATCGTGTAAAACCTTATTTGTAAACCAGCGTTTTACTCAATTCCATTTATGGCTGTCAATCAAACTGAATTTCGTACACATTCCACAATATCAACTGATTTAGTTGAATCAGGGAAAATAATTACGTCAACAATAGTGGAGTTTTGAACTCCTGAACTAATTAACGTCCGATTAATAAAGATAAAAAATCCCAACCGTTATAACAATATCACAATTAGACATGAAGAATATTTACATAAAAAAAGACATTTATCTTAGCTTACAAGTCATTATTATTGGCTTTATTTTTGGTACAATACAAAGTTCTCAGCGCAAAATATTTCAATAAGTTACCGTTTCTTATTACTTGATCGATCTTTGCGATAAATATTGAGTGGTCGCCAGTTAGATATTGGCAATTCAGTGTAAATCATCTGACCATTTAATTAACTAAAACATATTTCTGTTGACCTCAGTTATTGACAGAAATATCAGTGATTATAACTGTGTTGTCGTCAGTCACCTCACACCATCTCATTAATCAAATAATATGGTATTATTCTATATCATCTATTATGTATAGTGGGCGTAATATGAATCTTATTTAGAATAAAAAAACAACATCGCTTTCTAATAATAACTTGATAATTAGCCACACGTTCAGAAAATAGATGAGTGAAATTCTCATTTTTCAAAAGATTACTCCTTTCTATAAGCAAAATGAAGTGAAAACACATCTCTCGGATGTCAGTTCATAGAAGGTCTTGCTCCAGCTAAGTGTAAACACTGTAGTCATTCACTGTCTAATTTTAGATGAGTTTAGTGTTTGTTTCCTCACAGAATCATCTAGCTCTCACTTGCTCAGTTTATCAATCTATGCATCGCCCATTAATAATCCTGATTCTTTGAGACTCGACTAGTTATTACTTCCTGTGTATATCGGTGATAAAATCCACATCGCCTTCTGTGTTTCATTTTATATCAATCACTGTGACGGACAAACTCACCCTCATCCGATATTTTGAATAAATACATTTTACTATTGACCAAATGTATGTTTTCACTGAATACTGATTATGGATGCATATCATGGTTCAATGTGAGCGATCAAATTTTACATGAGGTTGAATACATTTTGACATGTCATTCAGTGCTAAAGTTTGCCCTCACTTTTCAACAGATTTGAGATGCGCGTGCAACCGTTTTCGTAGTTCTGCGTAGTGTCAATTGTTGTTCGATAATTGTCCTCATGTTGAATATAGATCAGATAGAGGCTAAAGTAATGAGTGGCATTTACAAATTGTCTAGTGAAGTGTGTTACTAAAATCAAGGTGAAATGAACTGCTGAAGAGCAGGACGTTCTCTTTTCGTCCTCCCATTTTCGTAAACAACACCCCCACCACGAGAAGTCAGTGAGTAGGACTTCCCTGACAGAGGCTATATACGCGTGGCCATGTGACAGCATTTCGAGAGCGAGAGGACTCTTTCCACTCTCGGCCATACCAGGGCATTTAGGGTGTTTCATACAAGAATGACATTCTTGCACTCATGCTAGTGAGATGTAGGGCGAGCGTTTCTCTCTATTTGGGACTCATTAGCTGTGTGTACTTGTATTTCAGTCTGTTATGTACATTAGACTCAAACCCAGTACTATCCTTATTGATAGTCAATGCATTACCAATTAAGCTACTAAATTATTGAACAGAAATAAAGTTATCAGTAAGGGTTTGTAAACTCCTGTTATTGATATTCAGTACTATAGCTAATCATTCTCTGTCACTATATGAACTAACTGTGGAGATTATCTTGTCAATATCGACTTGTTTATGTTTTTTGTAGTTTGGTTGGCTAAATTCATAGAGTATTACTAAATTTCATAACATTACTAATTTTATCAGCAATTTTCGTCTCACATTAATCATATTAGGGCTGGCATTGAAAATCATGCAGTGAAGGAGAACTGTTTCGTACTAGCCTAAGATTTCTCAGGAGTGCATATTCTTAACCATAAACCTAGGGATGTAATCCAAGCCAAGCAGTTATCATGACGAATGTACAACTGTTAGGATCATTGGCTTTTGGGTCCATTGATACATGTATCAAACGCCAATCAATTTACAATTTGGCACTATTGTCACCCAACAGCATTGGTCACATCTTCTGACTAGGACTCATTATAATTAAATCACTACTGAGCTTGTTATTAGTAGTTTGAACCAAACCATAACAAATATTGATTTCAAATCAATGTGATCTCCACAAAACACTAAGTCATTTAGATTTTTATTGTTGACGGAATATAAGACCCGACTTGATTTCTAGCCAGGTAAACGTAGTTGACAGATGACAGCCCACCTCACCATCCACAGATAACCAATCCAACAGTTCATTTCACAGTGATTTTAGTAACACACATCACAAGATAATTTATGAATGCCACTCATTACTTTCGTGTTTATCTGATCTGTATTCAACATGAGGACAGTTATCTCACAAAAATTGACATTAAGCAACAACAATCTGCGAAGCAGAACTACGAAAACGGTTGCACGCACTCTCAAATGAAATGTACCAACTTAAAGATGTATGTCGTTTGATCTTACTTACTAACTTACTTACTTACGCCAGTTACTCCTAATGTAGAATAGGCCGCGGACCAGCATTCTCCATCCCACTCAGTCCCCGGCCTTCTTTTCTAATTCCATCCAATTGTTGTCCAATTTTCTCATATCTATTTCCATTTCACGGCGTAATGTGTTCTTTGGTTTTCCTCTTTTCCCGTACACTTGAGGATTCCATGTGACGCAGTTGAGTGTTTTCCTCAATGTGTGCCTTATACACTTCCAGGGTTTCTTTTTGATTTCTTCCCCCTCTGAAATCTGGGATAGGAGGGACAGATCATCTGCGAAGTCTAGATCGTCCAGCTGCATCCTAGATGTCCACTGCATCACGTGTTTCCCGTCAGATGTTGACGTCTTCATGATACAGTTGATCACCAGGAGAAAGAGAAAGAGTGAGAGTAAGCAAACTTGGTTGACGACGGTCTTTTCTTCGAACGACTTTGTCAACTGTGCTCCACATACAATTTTGCAGTTTAATCCATCTTAGGAGTTCCGTATAATATTGACTATCTTCTGAGGCACGCCGTAGTATCGATGAATCTTCCATAGTGTTGTTCTGTCCACACTATCAAATGCTTTTTCGTAGTCAATGAAGTTGATGTAGAGTGGTGAATTCCATTCAATTTATTGTTCCACAATGATCCATAGAGTTGTGATTTGGTTTGTATATGATCTATCCTTACGGAATCCTGCCTGTTGGTCTCGAAGTTGAGCGTCTATGGAGTCCTTCATTCTGCTGATTTCTTCAATTGTTGGTGGGTCAACATTGATTGGGAGGTTCGTGAGTGCTACTTCGATGTTGGATGGGTTCAGTGGGGCTGGTCGATTCTGTTATGTTTCGTTATTCGCTTGAATGCTATTACTGGTGCATCTTACTCAACGGAACGAAGGACCAGTGACTCAGCGACTCGACAGCTATTCTGGTTCGTTGTCCCCAACTCTGCTAACTCGATCAAGAAGTCGGGGTAAGGTGTAGAAGTGTATTCTGCAGACACACAGCAGATAACAAGTCAAGTCAAACACACAACTCAAGCGTATTTATACAATATTTACAATCGATATTGTCATAGGAAAATTTTAAACACTAATCAATGAGTTCATAAATTGACCTATTTGCACATTTAATCGATAGTTCATCAATTGACCTATTTGCACATCTAATTGGTAGGTTCCTCAACTGACTGCTATACAAACATTTAATCGATCAGTTCATCAATTGACCCCAATACAAATATTTAAACATTTAATCAATAAGTTGATCGATGCGATAAAATTTTAAAAATATGAGTTTGGGGATCTATCGTCCCCAACAGATTCAAGAGTTCTTTGAAGTGTTCTACCCACCTGTTTCGTTGTTCATCAATGTTGGTGATTACCTTGCATTCCTTACTCTTCACTAGACGTTCTGGTTTGCTGCGATTTCCAGAGAGCTGTTTCATGTTTCCTTCTCATACAACTTTTTCCGCCGTCGTTGCTAAATTATCCACAAATTTACGTTTGTCGGTTCTGATGCTCCTCTTCACTTGTTTGTTTACTTCTGTGTATTCAGCTTGTGCTTTGGCATTTTCTACTTTTGTTCGACTGGTATTGATTGCTGCTTTCTTGTTCCTCTCACCATCTTAGTTCATTTTTCTCGTAGTCCATGTCGTCCGATGATATCTTCATACCCGGTGTTGTTCAATTTAAACTAGGCATTTGAGATACTCTTCCGAATGGTCAAGTCCTTCGCAGGCATTTCTCAACGACTGACCGTAACCTATCGTATAACTAGTCAATAAAATTCATCATTGTAATCGTTGGTAGTCTCATAGCATTGGATGACTTTCATTGTAGTGCTCTGTTTCTTTGTTTTGAAGGAGGCTTTGATGATCCTTGGTCCATGAGATTCCCTTCCTATAAGTGCATTTTGTGATTGTTTGAACAACATCATTGCAACAGCTTGTGCGTGTGGGTCATTTTCTTCATCATGACCAGAGTATAACAGAAGCTCCCCTGAAGCTAGTCGTTGTTGTCCAACTTGCGTCAAATATGTTTCACTGATCCGAAGCACCTATAGGTTGTATCTCCTAATTTCTGCAGCAATTCGAAGGACTCTCACAGTCTCCCACATTGCACGATTATCCCATGTACCTAAATAAATGGTTGCTCTGGTTGTCAAAAGGGTCATCGGCCTCTAAAGGAAGACTTTATTACTCCCAGAGCAGAGTTTAAAAATTTATATAATTTTTTTGGTTAGCGTTTTCTTATTGAGTTAGTTTTCTACGAGATAAAATCGCTAACCTCATGCCAAACCCTACTCTTTTCTCTGGGTTTAAAAACTATCAGTACACCCGGAAGGAGAACACGGGGAGTGAGATCAACTTCAATCAAAGAACTACGCATTGTGAATTGGTTGCCTAAACTGAAAAGATGGTATTCAACTGGCAAATTTTCGTTTGACAAGTAAATTTGGAACCTCTCTCTTGTTTAAACCTGTTTTTAATTATCACATGCATCATCATTATTATTATTGAAAGAATTCAATGAGCTTTTTAAACAATACAATTTATAAGCAAAGATGGATAGTGGCTAGCAGTGGAATCCAGGACATACGCATAGTATGCAAATATGCCAATAAGAGACTGATCAATTTCAGTCCTAAAACATCAATGGGAAGATTCAAGTAAAAACAATATCAAGTGAATTAAACTTCACCCCATTGCACAAGCAAGTGGCTATCAGGACTCAGTAGCTCAGTGGATAACGCGATGGCGTTTGAAGCGAACGTTACTGAGTTCGAGTCCTTCGAGTGAACATCAACTCTGAGATGCAGGTACATCCAGCTGACGAGTCCCAAACAGGACGAAACGCGCGTCCTGGATTCCACTGCTAGCCACTATCCATCTTTGCTTTTAATACAATTTATGTTTTGACATGTACATCGATGTTTCATTATCAAGTTATTCATCCTTCAACTTGAACTTTATTTATTTATTCCTTCGTATCAATCTCTCACACATACCTACACACTTACACACACACATACGATTTGTTACTCAGTTAAGTATTTCCATGTCGTTGAATTCTTCACATGATTTGTAGTTAACCGACTCATTTTATCCTATTTTACACAAAAAAATCAACATCCAAATATGATTGGTTTAACACAGTATAATTCTGATTGTTAAAAATCTATAATTTTGATTTTCCTTATTACCCTGAAGATGTCCAGACAAGTTAGCTGGATGAAACGTTGGAATTAGTTAAATTTCAATCGCTGAGAATATTTCAAATATAATTTTCACATATAATGATTTCTCTATACTCGGCGCTCAATTACTGTCAAATTATTCGTTCTAATTTTGACGAATATTCGTATGGAGAGTTTAGAAGTTGTAAAGAATTTTTTGGTTAGCGTTATCTTAGTGAGTTAGTTTTCTACGGGATAGGGTCGCTAACCCCATGCCAAACCCTACTCCTTTCTCCGGGTTTGAAACTGGCAGTAGCCTCCGGCGGAACAATGTAGTGTCAGTTATTATGCTAAGCCCATATACCTTATTCTAGCTTTCGGATATCCCATTCTATTCATTCTAATTGAGCCATACTTTGACCTTGTTATTTATTCGCTTATCAATCTAGACTGTTTTTATATGAGCGTATATGTGTGTGCCCTTCTTGTCCCATTAATCACATGTCTGTAGCTTATTTTTGTCTGACTATAGATATTGAGTAACGCTTGACTAAAATGGGAGTTGGCTTCCCAGCCATCTTCTCGCGTGTCATTTTGCTCTGCTCTGTTTCATTCGCTTCATATGCAAAATATATGTATTCACAAGTCAATTCTCATTATTCAACCTATTTAATTCCGTTATTGACTAAAGCGATTTGAGTCGACGATTATATACGAGAATAGGCGATAACAATCATTCGTACCCTCTGAATGGAGTCAGATCCACGGGCTACTGAAAGAACACGGGGAGTGACATCAACTTTTTCTAATTGGCCTACTGATACAATGACTATTGAATGATGTGCATTTAGGAATAAGATTTGAAAAGTTGAGTATTCTGTCTGATTCCCTTGATCGACTATAACATTACACCAAATTCTATCATTTCTGTTACATTCTGTGCAAACATTTAAAGTAAAACTTATTATTACTTCTTTAATCTCAGTGTAAATTATCTGACCATCTAATTAATAAAAACATATTTCTGTTGACCTCAGTTATTGACAGAAATATCAGTGATTATAACTGTGTTGTCGTCAGTCACCTCACACCATCTCATTAATCAAATAATATGGTATTATTCTATATCATCTATTATGTATAGTGGGCGTAATATGAATCTTATTTAGAATAAAAAAACAACATCGCTTTCTAATAATAACTTGATAATTAGCCACACGTTCAGAAAATAGATGAGTGAAATTCTCATTTTTCAAAAGATTACTACTTTCTATAAACAAAATGAAGTGAAAACAAATCTCTCGACTACCAGTGCATAGAAGGTATTGCTGCAGCTATGAATAAATACTGTAGCCATTCAACTGTACGGCCGTTTCGTCCTAGTATGCGACTCCTCAGCACCGCGTATCCGCGATCCCACACCCCGCGAGATTCTAACCCAGAACTCACTGAAGACAACAGTGTAGGGTGGCGCGACAACGTGATTGGCTGATGTTAGGCAATAACAACGTTGGTCTAGTTGGTTAAGGGCCTGACGCGAGACTGATAGGACCTGGGTTCGAGCCTCGCAGGGTGCGGGATCATGGATGTGTACTAATATGTGTAGTTAACACATGTGATTCATCTAGGCCTAATTCACCTGCAAAACAATCAAAATGAAAAACATGTATCTTCCTCACTATTATTAGGATCATGTGTCGCACTTTTTCAGCCTAATGTTTTCTTCAGTCTTTCTCCTCTTCACTAGCTTTGAAAATTCCAAGTTAAGACTTTCTTTGTGACACACTTGGGTGCTATCTTCAATGTGTGCCCTATACACTTCCAGCGCTTCTTCTTTATTTCTTCCTCCGCTGAAATCTGGTTTGTTTTTTCCCACATTAGGTTGTTGCTGATAATGTCTTGCAAACGGGTCCGAAGTATTTTACGTAGACAACTGTTAATCATCACTTGTATCTTCTGGATGATGGCTTACGTAGTTCTCCAGATTTCCGCCCCATACAGTAGAATTGTTTTGACATTTGTATTGAAAATCCTGACCTTGGTGTTGGTTGACAGTTGTTTTGACTTCATTTGTAAATATGCTGCTCTTGCTGTGTATTGCGTTACGATATAATGTATAAAGATAAACTATCATTAGAAATCGTCAACTTAGTAGGATGAGAACTACACAAAAATGAACAACAGTGTTACAAAATAACTGAATGTGTCCAATCTCACCACATTTAAAACATTTCAAATTACGAAATACACATGAATGATATGCGTGAAACTTGTCACAGAACAAACATTTACCAAACTTGTGCTTATCTTTGTGAACTGTCTCACAACTCAATGAATTGTTATCTGAATAACCTTGATTAAGCACTGGACTGTGACGACGTGATGTTGTGGGACTCCTGATGTTCTGACGAATCATTTCAAGAAAATTTCTGCTTTTAAGGCGTTCTAAATTTGTATACTTTATATGGTCTAGTAGCAGTTGCTTCAGAGTTGCGTAACGAAGAGAAATCGGCTTGTCAGGAGATGGCAATGTCTTTATTTAGTTGTATGCTTCTTTTCTGGTGAATGAAAGGAAATGAGCCACAATATTGACATCCTCAACAATGTCCTTGGTTATAGCCCAGATTTCCAACTTTTCCATGTAATTCGCAAGAGCATCGAGATCTGAGTGTATGTTCAACCTTTCTATCACAGGCTCCATCAGGACGCAAATGTGATAACTGGAAATATTTCAATCTTGGTACAAATTAGAAATCTGAGGAATAACACAATAAATCCAAGAACAGCTAGATGAGCACGAACGAAAGTATCGTATCCAAAATTCGAAATCAAGCAGTCAACAAGTACAAGGGAATCATTAGTTCATAATAACCAGTTACCGATAAGTAGTAAAGGTAGAAGACCTGGTTGGTGGATTTCCATCAGTATTTAATTACCAGACAGACAGGACATCATCAATTGTGCTTTGATCAATAAATATAAACATCTCTGTCCTACAAGATGTCAATTCTGTTTACAGTAACGTAGCAGTAGATTTTCATACTGCGAAATTGTGTGTTATGTGTTTGAATTACTCGAGGAGTATTGGTTTCTCCAAGATTGAGAATATAACATACTGACTTGTACCAACTACTATGAAACCGGACTACACGATTTTCTGCCGACAGTCTACAAACACCGAACATTGTCTAGCTCAATTAAATTATCTCCTTAATAAAATCATCCAAAACGATGAATCTGAAATTGGCGAGACAGTGCAAACCTGACATGCTATTCAAATATTCAACTGCGAATGCTTCTTTCCGAAATATCGCACTTCAGATCTGTTGAAAAGTGAAGACAAACTTCAGCACAAAATGACATATCAAAATGTATTCAACCTCATGTAAAATTTGATCGCTCACATTGAACCATGATATGAAACCATAATCAGTATTCAATGAAAACATACATTTGGTCAATAGTAAAATGTGTTTATTCAAAATATCGGATGAGGGTGAGTTTGTCCGTCACAGTGATTGATATAAAATGAAACACAGAAGGTGATGTGGATTTTATCACCGATATACACAGGAAGTATTAACTAGTCGAGTCTCAAAGAATCAGGATTATTAATGGGCGATTCATAGATTCATAAACGGAGGAAGTGAGAGATGGATGATTCTGTGAGAAAATAAACACTAAACTCATCTGAAATTAGACGGTGATTGGCTACATAATACTGAATACATTTTATTAACCTTGAAATATTTACTCAAGGTGTTCATATGAAGAACTTGATGTTTCCATTTACATTAATATAGAATTGTCTTATGAGAAATTGACAGTGATTTCATGGGATGAGCTCACTATTCCAATAACTATTGCTTCCGTGGATACAATGAACTGAACAAACACCCAAGTGAACCTTTATCAAACCCTAGTGAATAAGCTACATAATTACCCCAAAAATACTGCGACTACATGTCATGATAATGAATAATAATAATAATTCGATAATAGGCCAAATATTAGTGGGACAATTTAATGTATAACTGAAAGCAATTCTGATGTTCATGATTCCTCAAAATCACCCAACAAACATCGTTTATTCGATCACAGAATGTGACACTTGTGGAAACAATATTTTGGTTACTGTCGACATCTTTTTGGAGCGATAAATTCACCATCACACTGCTAAGAATTATATTTTGCAATTATAACCACATCATGAATAGTTTAAGCTTCATCCGCTGAAATTATTATTCATTTACGAAAATGTAGACTGTTAATCATTCAACAGTAATTGACTCATTACGTTTAGTGAGAACGCATTCACGTCCAGTTCTACCTGACTAATAAGAAACCTTTTGTCTATTTTGATCGCTAAATCTATTCAGAGCCAACTGTACAATGTGCCGGTCAAATGGGCTTTTCGTGACTGTTCGGAAGATACAATCCCACATTCAAAGATGATGGAGTCGTCCGACAGGATTGATTTCATTAAACGTAAATTTAGATGTAAAAATGCAAATTTAGATATCTAATCAAGACAGATTTTGTTACTTGGATTTTAACCTATCAAATCAAAGCAATGCATCATTGGTAAACAGTTCGCAAATCATGACAAGTAACAAAATGTTTGTTCGTGAAAATATGAGCACGCATTTTGATTAACATTAAAAACCCCTCACTTAGTTTAAACTATTACTTATCATATCCAATATAATATTTACCAATAGAGGCCTTGAAATTTTAACCAACGGTGAATAAGTGTCAGCCTTTGGAGTACAACAACTAGAAGTATATTGCATTACGATGAGTTCGTCTTCCACGATGAGTGGTCAACAATGATCATATGATTTTATGAAACGTGATGTTTCCAATGGTCACTTTGGATCGTCGAATAAGAAAGAAACAAACAAACACTTAAAAATTGATATAAACACGACAAGGTCTAACAGCAATTAATAACGTTATGAACAAGAAAATGAGGTGAGTGTTGACTGTACAGTTAAAGCAAATGAGTGTGTTATATGAACTTTAATTGGTTTCAATGAAATAAGACTGTCTATTTTTATCTGAACCATTCCAGGCAGAGCTTTGCAACTGGCCAGTTTATACTGCTGTATTTGATCATCGTATTAATTTATAAATTCTTCGACTGCCATGACATTTGCAAAATACCTGAAAAAGTAATTTCTGAAAATGATACATATAGACATGTAAGTAATCAGTCAGGTTCCAATACACACATTCAGTCTCTTCACAATAATTATTCCCAGACAATCCGGTCTAATCAACCTCTTCCAATTATTAAAGGTAGCTTTGAAAGGTTGTTTTATGAAAAAGTGAGTTGACTAAATTTTACAATCGAGGTACTAACCCATATGTTTGCTTATAATCAGGAAATTAATGCACCATTCCCGTTTACGTTTTACGGCACTACAGTCAACAGATTCATAATTGACATTTCTGGTAAGAGAATCATTTTCATCGAACTAAAATTTTTACCGAGTTTTGTTTATTCCCATTTCATTCTGTGGACCAATGTTACTTTAATTTCTTCAGTAAATCAGTTTTATGCTCTTTTTAACATTCAAAACGTCTACTGATCTCTTATTTCGTTCTAGCTGTAAACAGTTTAAAGTCTAACGGAAATTCAATTACGGTCCATGAAATTCATTTTGTCTCCAGTTAATCTAAAAGTCTTTAATTCATTCTCTACAGATTGTCAATTAAATTTCATGTTTTCATTTGATAAATACAGGTACAATTTATATGTTCGGTGGACAGTACTTAGGAGGAATCAAGCATTATTTTGATAGCAGTTTTTATTCGATATCTGAAATTTCGTCTACTGTGAAAACAGAAATTTCAGATCAGCGTGAGTACCTCTATTATCCGATGATAATTTAATTTTACCTTTCATTTCTCACTTTTATTTTACATAAATGATTCAATAATTGACCTGGTTACATTTTGGGAGCTGACCAGTTCACAGGGATTAATTTGCTTGTGTGATTTGATGCTCCAAAAATGTGTTCAGAACACCTATTCATTACTGTCAAGTGAAAACGATGGTTCACTTCGAAACAAACACGAATTGATTGAGTAGAAATTATAAATCGAACGAATCCAACTGAACACATTTAGAACAATAAACGATGTTGTGTGAGAAATCATTTTGGATTATTAAAGCACATAGACTACCAAGTTACATTTGATGACGTCCGATTGTTTTCTTTAACTTACTTCATGAAGAATGAATGTCTCTAAGTCACTATCTGTGAACCACTGTGTGTATTCATCACATTTTTGACTATCATATTCGTATGGATCTAAAACAGCCATCAGTAATAATAATGACAGATGATAAAAAGTTACCATAAATAGTGCACTGGTATAACACAATAGATTCGACCCGGAACAACTGGAACATCGAAATGAAGTTCACTCATTTTGTTCAGTTACTGCATTTAGTGACATGAAAGTTGAATTTCTGAGTCATAATTAGTTCAATTGATGGAACACTGTTCGATTGGAATAACACAATCTCAGAAAATGGTTTGATATGTGTATTGTCGTTTAGACATTACCGGTCTATTAGATTGTCTGAAGCTTTTAAAATCAACGCTTCAGAAGTAAAATATTCTTCTCAGTTGGTTGGATTGAAACATTCATCATATCGTTGAAATAATGATACGTCTCCTTGGAACTCCCATTTAATTGAACCGGTTTACTTAAATCTTGAAAGAAAGATGGTAACTCGTGTCCAAACTCATTCTCTATGGATATTCATTATACATTTATGTAAAAACAGAAATATTTTTATTTTCATCATTTCAGGGGAATTATTAGCCGTCAGAACGTTTTATTATCAAGAAGCTGGTGATGAACGTATGTATCCATAAAATGATTATTTGATTACACATGAAATATTTAAACACCTACACCATCATTCGCAGTACTTGCGTACACATTTTCTGTTCATTTTACATCGCTGAATTCTTTTCAAAAACTGACAGAGGTAATAAAGTGTCACCATCCCAGAAAATTAGGAAGGGGGAATTATATGTGGAGTCCATCGATTGTTTGAACACATTGATTGAGAGCTGAAGGACAGTTGACATAATCAGGAGCACACTGGATTTGACGTGTAATAAATAAATCCGTTTGAATAAATTAGGTAATAAACACATTTCAATTGTGGATAAACGAATGCAGAGATTCATCTTCGGCTCCAGGCTTCAATGCTGCTTGATCAGATGTCTGTATTCTGAAATAAGTAAATTTGTGTTACTCACCACACGGTCATTCATAAGAATTATTCATTCAAATTAAGAAATCAACATGACGAATAATCTGAAGCTATTCATTTTCCATCTTTACCGAACACTGATAAACCAATGCGTTGCATAAAGGGTTAAGTTACCCATGTTCTACTTGTAAACAAACAAACCACAGCTAATGTCATGTGTACTAAGGGTCGATTTTTCCAGCTGTAATTATAGAGAGTGTTGAGAAATGTCAATACCTCCTCGACTATTAGATTTAATTGGAAGCTTGATGATTTATTATTTCGATATGAAAACGGGGTTGTAATCCAGCTTCGGAACCTAATTATCTGACATTTATATTTAAGGATGCTAGATTGCTTCATTTTGCACGACGTTCACTAGATTATACTTATTACGAAATCCACCAAAGAAAGCATTTGAGATGACAAAGAAAATAGCTACCTAAAACTGATCACTTTGTACGTAGGCACATACACTTTGGCATGCAACAATAACATGCTAATCACTAATACCCCAAATTCTAAATAACGATAGTCTTCTGCTTTTAGTTCCTGCATTCAGTATAACTACTGCGATAATTTGGAATGGGAATATAATATTCCATTATGAGAACGTAAGTTGCACAATTGAATAGTAATGTAGTGTTGTTTGATGTTTTTGGATTATTATCTTACTTTGCGCAAATCAACACTGTCGAATGCAACAAGATACATTGAACACGATAGAACGATATCAACATATTTTAACGTGCACACAGACTATAAGACTCTTTTCATAACTCCGTAATGACACACGTTAATCCAGCACTTGTTTTAAAACAATAAATTATAGGAAGTGACAATCTGACATATTTGGGCCGATTAAGGACAAACAGTGTATTATGTAGTACTTTCCAACACAGTTATTTTCTGTCAAGCTTAACTACGTCTTCTGAAGTTCAGCTAATTGAAAATTTCATTGTCATATAATCTGTGAGATAAATTGGTAAAACCTTGATCGTCTCTCACTGTGTACTTGTTCGAATGTCAGCATTTAGTACTTCACCAATTTGAAATACAATAGATGCGTGATGAATAGAAAGGGCAGATGAGTTGAAGGATTTCATTTGTGTTGAACTGAATCCAATTTGGTTGCTTCGAGGTAATCAGGAATTGTATGTACGGTGATGGATGAAAGTGAGTACATTAACAGAATTCTTCCACATGACAACAAATCCACGTGCAGCAGCATTGCAGTTATTCACAATCACACTTCCGTCAAGTGACGTTGATATTCATTTCATAGTGTGGCGCATCATTGCATGATAGATAGATCGTCCACTGGATCTCAGTAAAGTTTACAACTGAAGTGAGTCGGATTATCTTCATAGACCACATGAGGCACACTCCTGAGTACACTGAGGAGATCAATGTGTTTACTGTATAACTAGTTGTCTTTGTGTAAAGTGATGTGAATGACGACACATTCCTTCAGTGATTGGTTGGCTTTGATAAAGGTGGTTGTGTGTTGACAAACCTTTACTCAAACTTCCGTTACTTCTTTCCAGGTTCCTACGGTAATTGGTGAAAACCAAAGGTTATCGAGGATTGCGGCTAATACTGATTGCCCAGAAGGTAACAAATGTTATTTGCATTGTGATTTAAACCGGACTACACATGCAGTCATGTGTCAGCCTAATATTAACTTCTTTATGTACCCTTTGATCACCACGTCAATACAGAGATTTGCTGTATTTCGTCATAGTGATCTAATATATCTTTCTTACAGTCTTCATCATTCAGTAGTTTCGTGTGAAAACAGAATCGTCGAGATGTCATTAAAGTGCTGATGAAAAGTTTTGAAATGAAATCTGAATGCTTCTGGTTAACACATTTTCCAAACACTACTGTTTATTGAGAATTCAACGTAGATGATGTGTTTACACATCTTGAATCAAAGTTTTAGTATCATATTTGATAATAAATCAAGATGTAAACTACTCCTGAAAAAGCCGCGTCCTTTGATCAAGTCATTATTACAGTGAACCACTGAATTCATCTGAATTTAAATCAAGTATCTTTGTCTTCATTTGAACAACCATCATTCTTGTTAGTGTCACATAAACGATTTACGTTGTGTTGATGAAATTGTATCGGTGTTATTTCTGTTTTATATGCTGAACTCCGTAAACATTGAATTTTACGATTCACATCCGCTGACACACACCTGAATATTATAACTATGATTTGTGAATATCTTCATCATGGATATTCAGAGAATTCGTTCTCATTTTTAAACAATCGCTCGTTAAACAAAATCTCAGTTGTTTTCCTCTTTAAAATTATTTTTTTACAAGATGAGGAAGGAAATGCAATAGATGTTCCTGGAAAATGGATCCAAAGTGGAACGTTAGTGGAGTTTGAAGCTCTCGGTGGTATGTTAAACCTTATTGTATCAGTAATGACTATTTTCACAGTTGAATGCATCAATTTTGTTTCCAAAAATTGAAACCTTCATGTGCAATTTCAGTAAATAACTAAATAAAATTTAGCTACCAGTGTCAAATGACGTTGTTCTATTCGTGGATTCTCTGTTGATTATTTGAAATGATGAAGGATGGATGGCCTTCACGTCCTCACGTGGAGGTGATGACAAATTCCTAGTGAATGAAATAGTCTCCTAATTTTGAAATCATCATTATATCACCGACTTATAGTTTAATGTTTTGTAATTCACCTATCTTTTGTTTGATAACTTGTTATGCAATCACATCATTTTTCCCACTGAAGATTGTCCAAAACACGTTTCGAGTGAAGCATGTCACGGCGCAACAATACCAGATACAACGTGCATTTGGTGTGAAACAGCCAATATGTGCATCACCAGCAATGATAAGGATCTTCATGAATTCAAAGTAAATGGTTGCAAGAATAAAGTAAGTAATTGATAAACTTCACAGATTGTTTTCAATATCACCATATTCTACATTGTGAATCTATTTACTCGGAAGAATGTTTAATTGCTACGAATATTTAGTGATTTGTATTCTTCTCTTAGTGCATAAATCAAGGTATTGTATACGTTGACGATGTTTAATCAAATATGAGTACGCTGCTTTGTTTCCATGTGGACATTCAACAATCAACAGAAGCGTCGTTTAACACGTCTGCTTGAAGAAATGTTAATTCTTCTACTCATAGAATGTGTAGTGATTCTCGACGTCCAATATGAAACCGTCTGTATGTGTGAATTGTTACTCAATTCTGAATGATGAAACATAATCTGTTATAAATTCTGCATCATGTTTAGAAAGTGAAAGTTCGTGGACTCCAATTGTTGAATTTGAGGACAGATATTCTTGACACCCTGTTGAGAAATTTGTATTCTAAATGGATTGCTTCAATAAAGCCGTCAGTTAGTTACATTGAGATAAGGTGAAACATCCGAGAAACAATTTTCATCACCCAAACAAGAGTCGTCAGTTAGTTGTTGGATAATGTGTACTCATCACATTGACTGTTAAATCGGTAGCAGATATCCTAAATCATTATTCATTGATCACATAGTGCAAATGTAAATTATGTAACTAATTGTTGAATTTACTTCTGTCATCAATACTGACAATGGTGTATAATGAATGATGAAATATTTGATATTCAATTGTAATTCCACTTTTTCCTACTTCCGAAGAGCTCGACTGTCATCGTTGCTACTGAACCAACAACTCTAGCAACTACTGAAACTGATTTGAAGAAGACTAGTCCAGGCTCTGAATCACATTTGGTAAATATTTGATATTTTGTAATCATCATACTATTTCGTTCATTTCAGAACATGACTACAGATACAACAACTCCTGCAACTACTGAAACTGATCTAAGAAATGAATTGAAGAAGACTAGTTCAAGTACTGAATCACATTTGGTAAATATTTGATATTTTGTAATCATTATACTGTTTCGTTCATTTCAGAACATGACCACATATACAGCTGAACACATGGAGGAAACAAAAACACTGCAATATGTGTACATCGTTGTGCCATTAGTTATATCTTTCCTTATTGTGTGCATTGGCTGTAGCATTTGGCTATGGTTCTACAGAAGGAACAGAGTTCATCCATAGTCCTCACAAACAGCTTGTCAATTGTTTTCATTAAGTCGACTTTGTTTTTTTCATTTTGTAGTTTAGTAAACACACTTTCTATTTTGTTAATCATTTCAATAAATTGAAGATTGTTTCATGGAACTGCATATCACATTGATGATTGTTTACGTAATGACTGATGTCACTTTGTTAGTAGAATATAGAAATACAATCTTCTGTACTTATATCATTCTTTTCATTCAATAAAAACATGGGTAATTACACAAGAGGCCACAACATTGCACTTGTCAATGAACAGTATCGTGTATACGTGATTATGTGACCATTGAAATCAAAAATGAGTCCGTTGTAAATGTCCATTTTATTAAAGTCTCAATACTGAGAAAAGTCAATCGAAATTGACGTCGTTCATTGTTTTAAACCAAACTGTCGGAATGCGGCGTCAATATTTATCAGAGCACCTCAATCCTTCGTTATTCGACCTATCACTGTTGAGTGAAAGCTGATTTTTGATTGAGATCTTGAACCGATTGATGTTAGACCATCACAATTGAAAACCTGGAAGGACTGGACGGCCATTTTGTCCTATTGTGGGACTCCTCAGCATCCACGATCCCGCGATCGGGATTCGAACCCGGGGCCTTCGGTCTCGCGCGCGAACGCTTAACCAACTGGACCACTGAGCCGGCATCCAATGGTGATAGTTTCTAACATCAACCAATCCACGAAATTGGGCGACTAACTTCCATTGTACTGAAGTAGATAACTCTCTACCCGACAAGGATTAGCACCACTGGTCACGGCTGATTGACAGACTGTTGTTAATGAGGTGTTATGAATGTGTTGAATATGAAATAATTTTAGAAAGTCTAGCTGATACTAAAGTAGGAATGAAAAAAGGTGTAGAGTGAATGATGAACTAGTAACAGTTTTGCCGTAGCATTGGTAATAAGATGAGAGAAAACACTGAAGTATTTGCGTCAATGATTGATCACATTATTCAACAAAAATTGGCTAAAAATCGATCTTATTCTCATGGATTTATGAGAAACTAGTCTAGTGTGCAATAACTAGTTCTGTATTAAGTCAGGCACCATTGAACGCTTACATCAGCCTATTCAACCTTTTTTTCAAGAAAATCGTTTCACAAACATTTTTCACAATCGAACATCTATGAACACATATATAACTGTCGCATTACTAGAGGACACAGGCAATATCCGAACCGAGAATTCAACAGTTCTTCTATAAGCACAACGAGTTTAGGGTTGTAAGGTTACTTCCCCAATATAAGGTATTTGAAAGGACAACATTATTATCAGACTGATATACACATTCACATTGTGAGTGATATTCTAGCAGGTTCTAACGACGGATATTACCATTGGACAACATAACTCATAATGATGAAATAACCGCTTCGATAACGAGCACTCAGATCATCATTCTTAAAGTGTGTAGTGGTATTGGACCATAACCACACAATCCTCAAAGCTGAATACGAGATTACTCGGAAAATAGATACTCAATATTTAACGCGGAGAAATACCTAACGATGGAGAAGGCGCGAACAAGGAATTGAATGAATCGGAGTTGATCGAATGGCATGGCTCGGTCATGCAGGCGTGGTCCCTGCTAAATATTACCTTATATCTTTTATTCATATTAAATATATTGTTCTTTCTCTAGCCTAACCTTGTTCTTCATCATGTATTGGTAGTTGTTACGATACAGTGAGTTGGTGTAGACGATGATGTGAATTCCACGTAAGATCTTATAGATAAGGCAGTTATATCATGACAAATCTACAATTTTAGGATTAGGTCTATTATTTGAGCAGTACTAATATCATAGTAGACCATAATTCTACAAGTGAAATAACTAGTTTTGTAAAGTATCATAGCTTTCATCTCTCCAGTTTGAATAAACGTTTTTAAACTGACTACTTTTGCTTTTAACTCTTCTCTTTATCTAGCGTTGATTTTACAAAGACATTTGTCACTTATGTTTTGAATGGAATAATACCTCCTGTAAGATCCATTTTGAAGGTTTTGTGTGTGTGTGTGTGAACATCCCTCCATGTACACATTTGTAGCGTGTTCCTATTGTTGTTCCTTTAGTTTTACACTTAGTTATTCTTTTTGATTCCATTCGAGTTGGTCATATTTGTATTTTATTTTAGTTTTTAATTTTCCTACACCTTCACCAAGTTTCCGTGTTTCTTCCTGAACTGCATTTATGTTATGTTTACTTGATACTAAGTCTTGGCAGCATCAATATTGGTTTGCATTGGTTTGTTTCTCCTTTTGATTGTGTTGCTTGTATTGACTGGAATTGTACATTATTGATTGTGAATTGAGGCACAATTCCAGAATTGCAAGCATTGTGTGTTATAAAGCAATCGAGTAGTATCTTTTGAACGAATCTATGCGTGATCTATCCAGACAGGATGGAATAACATTGATTTGTTGCGATTGGTAATTTTCTCTCATCTTTTATCAACTTCCTTACGTATTGTATTTTATATTTGAATCATTGAACAATTATTGGCTGAATAGCTGAGTGGTCATATTTGTTTAGGTAATAGGGTATATTTAAATTTATAATGAATTTCACAATCGTCATTTTACCCAATCACTTTGTTTTGCTTTCAACCGGGAAAGGGCGCGTATCTAACCCACCTAGACAGTTATTCTTCAGTCCAAACCTTCGTTTGCACCTAACACCTCCAAGAACTTGTGCGTTAATTAAAATGAAGTATCTTTCAAATTATTAAAACCGAATTTATGTACCAGAAAATTTACGAAGTTATAGAAGGTTTTGAACATCATTCAGATATTGTCTAAATGGAGTGTTAGCGTTAATAATGGCACCAAATGATGCAATATATATGAGACTTTTCTTTTTCTAACAAAACTTTAAACAGGATTATAATATTGTCAGAGTGGGTATCCGTTGAGATTGCAGTAATTTTAATATTGGGATTCATGAGTATTATACTAAACAGCCGCCCTGTGCTTTCAGGTTTTTAATTGTGGCCTAGCTCAGATTGATACATGGATTCAAACATTGTCGTATTCACCATAGTAGTTTAATTTCACATCATCAGATGGATACATTCCATGTTTTACGCTATGCAAATCATCCAGTGTATGTAAATCTGTCAGAAGTGTGACAAAAGAGGAATCACAAAAATGACTTATCCTGATCATAAAATATGAATTTAGTTGTACAATACAACTGAGATGGTCAATGATTGGAGTGTTTATTCACAGCTGGAGCAAGACCATCTATGAATTGACAAACAGAACATTTGCTTTAACTTCTTCTTCTTCTTAGAAAAGTAGTAATAATTTGTAAAATGAGAATTTCACTCATCTTTGATGTTTGTATGTCGGGGATTGTCAGCCAGATAAACAGCATACTATTAGAAAACGATGTTGTTTTACTCTAACCAAGATCGATATTACACCCACGATACAGAACAGAGAATATCATATTATGCAATGAGGTGATCAATGATAACAAAGTATAATCATAGCTGATTCTATAAACAAGGGAGGTCAACAGAAATATGTTTCTGTTCATTAGACAAACAGGTTGTTTACACTGAGATTGAAGAAGTAATCAATATGACTTTGAATATTTTATTGCATATTACAGAAATGATAGAACTTGATGTTATTCTATATTCAATGCGATGAATCACACAGAATTCTCGATATTTTTCAAATCTTATTCCTCACCAATCTGTTGAATGATACTTCGATTCCTGGAAAATTGTATCATTCAAAGAGTATTAGGTGTTATGAAGCTAATGTGATTTAGAAGCGTAATTTTTGACCAAAATCACAATATTCTATAAGTTTCCTCATTCTAATAATTCTAAACTGAAATTAATCTGGTTCTAATTGCCTATAGACTTCGATATTGTAGAGATTCACGAATCGATCTGGAACATTTCTTGATAGGTTCATAGTGGCATTTATGATCAGGGTGCTATCAAAAATGGCGATTCGATCTATCACAAAGTAACACATATTTAATTATAAAGTAAAGATGTACATGATGTCCAACTTCATTTACATCTGGTAGATGTGTACTACAATCAATCATCTGTTTGCTAAGATATGAATGAACAAGATGTAAGATGGTTGAATGAAATGAGCAGGTAGCTTGTAACAAAACTTTTGCTCTATCTCACACTCGTCAATCGGAACGATATGCAGTATGGAAAGCGCATATGATTCATATATCACTGGAACAATTGTCTCCCAGTGTCATGGTCGAAAAACGTTGTAATTCAGCCATAAATTCCACGACTAACCTCTTTTAAGACTGGAACCTGTATGTCGTTGAATAATCCATGTTGATTGACTTGTATTCTCCATAATATCAGTTGACTAAGTAAGTACAAATATGTCTGTTGATATAATCTTAACTGTTTAATTTATTGCTATGGCTTAAATTGACGTTGTTATTGTCATTAATGATTTTCTTTTACTACTTGCACAAATATCAGTAGCTTCAACAGTGCATCGAAACACCATAGTTCAATACATGGTCTAATGCATACGAATGTTCAGATTAACTCATTTATACTATTAAGATGTGTTCATCTTCAAATCCAAAATGATCTTATGGAAAATCATTCAGAATATTAAGTGGAGTAATGCAGCATACATGTCAGGAGTTTTTTCTTCTTCTTCATCATCATCATCATTATCTACCACACCAGGAGCAGTTTGGCAAGTTATCAATCCATATTTATTGCCAGATGAGTTGAAAATCATTGTTCACTAGATGAAAGATGGTTTTGGTCATGATCAAGATGCATTGTGAAAAACATTTGATGGAAGGTATACACTGGTTGAATCGGAAGACGAATGTTAGTCATTACACACGGCCTTACCTTCCCGCAACAAAATATCTTCTTACAATGTGGATTGGTTTCTTCGAATATTCATTGTACTCACTTTTACTGTAAGTTTAGTTTGTTCGATAATTGTTTCGACTTTCTTCAATATGATGACATAATGTATATCGGTGGGACTAAAGCAAACAACAAATTCTTAGTTGAACCCAAAATGAAGTGTAATTTAACAAGTGGTGAATTCCGAGTTGAAATGTATATGTTACATTCACTATTTTGATTATCATAAAGCTGCCCTTCCAGTTAATTGATTTGTAACGGTCACATTGCAATTCTCGTGATAAGATGATGTTCAGCATTGTAAACTGTGATCAAATATTGAGATGATAGAGAGAAGATCTGTTGCTCAGAAGGTTGATGTTGATGGTGTTGTATCTTTTGAACTGACTTATTGATTAGTTTCTCCATAAAGATAGTCTCTTCCATGTTCTATGTGCCGAGTGCTTGGCTTCTCTATTGGCACTCAGGCAATACAACTCCACCACAGTGATCAGAAATCGTCATACGTTGTTCATCTGTGTTGCTCAGTATAATCATTTCGTTTTTACTGCAGTTATTCACATTGGTACTTCAAACAATGATACTTCCATGCATTTTCTGGTCAAACTATTCCATCACTAAATGTCTATAGATATACTTATAATATAACATTCTCAATCAAATAATTTTAGAGTTGATTTGACAACATCCACACCTGACATGGTTAGTAAAGAAACCTTGGATCAAACGCCTGATTTTTATGGGGACATAACAGGAGCTAGACTACGGGTACACAACATAACTGAAGTCATCTGGATCAACTCCTGAAAACCAAACTAATATATCCAGAAGAGATATATTCAGCCTCCATGTTTACCGTGGTCTACGACCGAATCACCAGACACCTCAAATGCATGTTATAAACCTATTATCCCAATTATCCTTGTGATTACCTTTTTTTCCTAATCCACATTGATTCTTTTTCATCGTAATTACCTCGACTATACTCTTTTTATTACATATTTTACTCGCACGTTATTATTATCACCATTATTATTAGTACTATTATATTGATAAAAACGTAGAGCCTTACTACAAGCCATTTAGACCTTCATCAAGTGACCTACCTAATTCACAAATCACACCATCTTCAAGTATTTCCATGGTAACGCATGAGAATGTTCATCATTGTTCACATATAACATTTTCAATTTCATTCATGACCTGTCTTATTTTGGTCTTTGTAAAATATGACAATTATTATGGATCTTTAATTGTGCAGCCTGATGATGTAATAAATTGTTCGTTTAAATATTCGTTGTATTTGCATATTGTGTGTGTGTACGTTTCAACCGTTAGTTTTAAGCATAATAGCCAACCATCAATTTTTCTAATTTATCACGTCAATCTCCCCTAATTTATACTAAGAATGTAAAACACCAGTTGCAAATCAACGTAATCGAATGGTGGTTTATAAAGATTGTGGTTATGTAATAGTTTAATTCATTAGTCGAACTAAGCTAGACCAGTATGTTTTACCAAGATGCAATTGACGGTCGTCTTGTCCCGGCATGGGATTCCTCATCATTTGCTCGCCGGTGACTGGCTTCAAGATGAATTTCATAAAGTTCTACTGAGAAGCCGCGATCAGTGGAAGTCAACTGTGTTTGCCGTGGTGCAGCTACTTACTGAAGACAATGGTGGACGGTCGCACAATATCGTGGATCGGTTGATGTTAGATAATAACACCGTTCTATGCCAGCCGACTCAGTGGTCTAGAGCTTAAACATTTGCATGCGTGACCGAGTTTGTGGATGCGTATTACTGCAGGACTGTCATAACTTTAAGAATGCTTGAAGCGATAAAAAGCACAGATTAGCTGAATGTTCTATCATAAATAAAGAATATTTGGAAAAATGGGATATTGTCATACCCATTAGTTGTGTAAAATATATTTAAGCTATTTATCGAACAGATTAGTTTATATTAGAATCCTTACAAATAGTCTCAAAGGTGAGATATCTTCCTCACCTCTCCTCTCCTTTGCAAATTCACAATTTTTCTATGAA